GGGCGCAGGGCGGGCGTGGAGGCGGGCAGGCCGCCATTGGTCGCTTCGGTTTTTCGCTTTGCTGAGAGAGCCCCTGGGCCTGGAAGGACGCGCGTTGCGCTGGGAGGCCGGCGACTGCGAGCAAGAGGGCTGCAGGGCCGGTGGGGCTTCTCCCCTCTGCGCAGGTTAGCGCTCGGCGAGCGGGCGTTCAGCGGAGCAGGTGCAGGAGGCGGCCAGCACGGCGCCGTGCTGCTGTCAGCCGCCCTTCAGGCTGGCGATGGGGCTGTTTTGCCTTTCTTTTCTCTAAGATCTGCTGACATTTGGACTTTGAATTGCTTGTCTTTGAAAGTAAATTATTTTCTTCAACGTCCTTCCTTGATTTTTATCTCTTGGCCACTGCGAAGCTATTTGCAACTGGCTGTGTTAAGAGACTGTCTTGTATGTTGGACCACTCCAGGCAAGTAGCATTGAAGTCAGGGTGTATGTTTGCTTTATAGGTAGAAATGAAGAGAAATTACTGGAGAAGCAAAGAAAAGCATGGATGGAGCAATCAGAAGCACAACTACCGTTCACATCGGTACAGAAGACATGGTCGCAATGACTGTACTGAAAGGCAAGTGTATGCAGCTTGTGCTTAGCATGGGTTAAGCTGTTAGGTGTTATGCCTAAATTTGCAGAATGGTGGCTATCTAAAATTGGGAGGGTTGCTATCTGAAAATCTAGTGGACAGTACTTCTGGTATATCTGTCATCCCTAGTGGGAGTGGAATTGCATTGATTTCTGGGAACTTATCATATGTTTACAACTGTATATGGATTTTAAACTGAAATGTGGTTCCATGAGCTAGTCCTTTCAGGTGTGCCTGATAGTCCATAAACTCTTCATCAATATGCAAAGCTAGCTCAGGGAAGAAAACAATGTTTGTAAGTACTTCATTCCACCTGCCCATTTGTTTTATGCCTCAGTGTCTGCTACTGTAAAAGCTGTCATTAAAGGATCTTCCTGAAAGTTTAAAAGCATGTTAAGCAATGTGGTAATAACACCACATCTAGCAGATCAGGAAACTGAAACAAGGTCTCAGGAATAATCTGCCTTGAAAGCTGATTCTTTCAGAAAACTACATTTTAAACTTTAGAACTTATACTTGCCTGTGTTTGAGCTATTTTTATGGCTCTTTTGCTTTCCTGTGTTCTTTCCTTAGTGCCTCTTGCAGGAATAAAAGAGGCCAATCCTTTGCTTTAATACTCTAAGCATTTTTGAAGTATGTTTCTAAAGAAAGAGACATACATGTGTATATATGAGTTGCTTTGTTAGTTGTATCTGTGTAAGAAAAGTTAGAAATACAAATGGGCTCTCATTCAGCAAAATGTAGAATTAAAAAGATTTTATTAAAAGGCTTTAAATTTAAGTGAAATTCTTGTCATGAAGAGAATGGTAAAATATTTTTGACCTGACATGAATGTTTTACCCACACTGTCTCTCACTTTATGCTGTCAAGGCTTACATATTTTCAAAGACGGGCTTTTCCTTTAATCAGGGTAAAATCCCCAGAATTAATCTTTTGTTGAAAAGAGTTAAAGGTGCTGCCAGAGTCAGCAGCCATCTCTAGTATTTTAACAAGTAATTAAAGCTCTTAAGATGTTGCTGTCTCTTATGTTATTGAAAGGTTTTTAGGCTCAATATTTTTACTGGTTCTTTTTCCTAGTTTAGCATATGGTGATATACACAGTGGGCTTATCACAGCCCTGCAAAATTGTACTCCATTAATGTTCATAACAAGCTGCTTCCTGGATTCTTTGTGGGAAAGATATGTGGGACAATAGTGAGCCTGTCTTGAAGGCAGTGCTGGTTTTTAGGCTGGAACAAGAGGAACTGCAGACCCCAGTGAACGCAGGCCCCAGCAGCAGTGGAGATCCTTCTTCATCCAGCTCAACACAGAACTCTGCAGTACCAGGTAAGAGACCATGTTTACAGGTCAGAAATCAGTGTCTGTATGCTGACTGTATGAAAAAAGTAGCAGTAACTGTGTCAGTAGCATGCTTGTTAAAGGAAGGATATGAACAGTAAGGTTTGTAGAGAAAAGTGATGTATCGGGTGATATAAAAAGATGTAGTAAGTGAGGATCCAGAGAGCAGGGCCAAATATACTTTCAGGCCCAGAAATGCTTCTCGTGTTTGCAAACTTGTGTGCTTAGCCAAGCTGATATATTGATATATTCCATTAAAAAATGGAATGCTGTTTCTCCCTCCAGAAGTGTTGCTTTGGGAAGAAAATGAACTTTGTTTCTTTTCTCATATGTGCTAAAGATGTTTGAAAATACATCTTTCAACAGAAACATTAAATAAGCAAAGAAAATAAGACAGCATATAAAAAATTATAACTTGCATCCAGTTATTCAGTCTTCTAAAAGACACAGCAATCCACCACTTCAGAGGAGATGGGGGAAAATCATCCCTCTTTGGGCTTTCAGTGTATTTTGTAATCTGTAAGAAATGTGCTCTGGCTAAATGTTTATTATCAGGGATCTGTCTGGTGAAACCAGACTTGATGCAGTAGCAGTGCTATTGAGGAAGATGTCCTGTTTGCATTCTGGTCTCCTGCCTCCTTTAACAACCCTAGCAAAAGCTAGACCTGGGGGAATGTGTATTTCTCCAGAACAGGGGAGTCCTGAAACACCACTGTCTCTATAACCTCTTAACAACTGACAAAGCCAGAGTTTAAAGAGACTTTTTTTGTGTATCACCCTTTTGTGTGTAAGAGGCTGTGAGCATGTTAGGAGATGTATCCTGCTAAACACTTATTGCTGTGTAATTAGATTCAGCATACTAAAGGCAGTGTGCTTTTATGAACCTTACTGATGCATTCACTGACTGTATGTTTTTGTTGACCTGAATAAATCGTGGTCACTTGTTGCTAAGCTGAAACGTAAAAGGTGCTGACAAGAAAGTTTGGAGTAGCTGATCCTTGAGGTCTCTTCCAACTTGGTATTCTATGAGAAGGAGCTGAATTGTAAGCAGCAGCAAAAAAAAAGTTACTTCAGATACAATGTCTGGTAGTAGATGGTTTAAATAAAAAATCTTGAAATTAAGATGTCAATACTCACCTCTTCTGCAAAAAAATCCTTTGTCTGGAGACAACATAGCATTATAAATCTGTCAAAGTGTTTTGTGTGCCTGCCTCTGTGAATTTACTCAGACAGCGAAGCACTAAAATTGAATGTTTCTCTCATCCCAATTCGTCTTTGGAAGGAGCCTCTGTGTATTGCTTGAATGTGCTCTTGATTGTATCTAAATATCTCCCATGTGTTGAAGAAAAGGTGGCTTGTTTTGGGAAGTGAATCACTTTATTCTGGTTTGGGTGATACCTCACTGTCAGTTTATTTTTACTGGGGACTGCCCTACCTAGTCTTCTAACCAAGAGTGTCCCCTCATGATTGATTTATGAAGGAAGGTAATTTTGTTCTGCAGCAAAACCTACCCTCTCTGCTTCTGTGATGTCTGAATTTCACCTTGGTCAGTGGCGATATCCCTTCTGTACCTGTGTAATGGCACTGCATTTGAAAGCTATAAATCTTATTTTCCTTTAAGAGGCTGTCATCTGTGCCTAGACTGTGTATCGTGCTTGGGACCTGCAGGGAGCAGGAGCTTTGAGCCTTGTGCCTCTGACATTACTATGAAGATGTGGGCTGTCAAAGAGCAATAAACAAAATTAGTTATCCATCTGATTTTGCCTGGATAATGACACCTTGGTTTTTGTTGTGATTTTTTGTTTGTTTGTTGGGTTTTTTTGTTTGGTTTTTTGTTGTTGTTGTTCTTTTTTACAGAACTGCCAGGATTTTACTATGACTCGGAAAAGAACCGCTATTTTCGCCTACTGCCTGGACATAATAACCACAACCCCCTCAGCAAGGAGAGCATTCAGTACAAGGCAATGGAATGCAAAAGACTGAGACTCTTAGAAGAGGAAGAAAAACAGAAGAAGGTACATTCTGAAAAAGATTGCAATTAGGCTTTACTGTGCTCTGGCCTAGGACAGATTATAAGCTAAAGCCTTTCAGTTCTGACTGTGGTACAGCTCCCTAAGCTTTCTGAAGAAATGAAAATTTCTTTTTGCAGAGAATTTATAGTCCCTGAAGCATTTTGTTTGGCTGTTCCACTCAGGAATGAAAGCAAGTCAAAAAACTTTGAGAGAGACAGGAACTGTGCTCAGAATTGCAGTTTGTTCAGCAGTTACACTGGATTCAGGGCATTGGACGCCAGGTTTCAAATCCCTGCCTTGAACTGGCAAAGTGGGGTCTTGTTTTTGAGATTTTCACCTGTTTAATAAATGTACCGATCATATTCCTGGACCCTGAAGAAGCAATACTAATGATGTTTTGTGGAAACAGCTTTTTAATGAAGAACTTTTTTGGACAGCTAAAATCAAGACAGGTCTTACATTACATTAGGTGGAACACAGGAGGTACCACTGAAATTGGAGAAGAAACTTCTTCTCAGTGAGGGTGACAGAGCACTGGCCCAGGCTGCCCAGAGAGGTTGTGGAGTCTCCTTCTCTGCAGACATTCAAAACCCGCCTGGACGCCTTCCTGTGTAACCTCATCTGGGTGTTCCTGCTCCGGCAGGGGGATTGGACTGGATGAGCTTTGGAGGTCCCTTCCAATCCCTAATGTTCTGGGATTCTGTGGTTCTGTTATGCCTGGAAAGCCTGTAGGCTTTTCATCATAGAGAGTTACAGCAGAGTTAATGCTGATGCTGTATATTGGTAATCTGTGTAAAATAGCTAACAAGGATGGGTTTTAATTACCTGAAAGCCATGTCTTACAACTTTACAAACCACAGCTCAGCTTAAATATGCTGTCATTTGGAAGAAACGAGCAGTAATTTTTTCCTTAAGTAATTAAGTTCTCACTTCAAGGAGCTCTTCAGGTCTGCAATCTTCACTGTGAAAGCACTGCTGTTGATTTGGTTTTGGCGTTGTTGTTGTTGTTGTTTATGTTTCATAGATACCAAACAGCTGCTGGCCACATTAATGGGAGCTGTGGATATACATGTCTTCTCAAAATCTGGCTATTGAATAGGCTCCCAGAAAAGAACATTTTGACTCTTAAATACTTGCTTTGCCAGAGCATTATCAAAAAACTTTCTTACTCCATAACTCTAGTCAATCCTTTGGTTTTCCCAGAAAGTGCTTGTGTGAAATTTAAAACAAATGATGAATGGAAAAGTAGTTCAGTGCAGCAGTAAGACTGCATAGTTAATAGCAGTCTTCTTGTGATAGAAAGTTTTGCTCTATAATAAGAATTTAAGGCATTGTAGAGAAATATATGTAGGCTAGAGGAAGAAGTTACCTAAATATCCCAAACATCTAAGACCACAGCCATGTTTGAATCATAAACAAGCAAATAACTGAGTACAATTTCATGTTATTCTCTTTCAGAAAACATCAAGGGTTGGACTGAACTCGTCTCTGCTGTTACAGAAGAGGCAGCTGGGTTTGCTCAGCTCCACAAGTTATTGCAGGTACAATGATTTGATTTGACTTGTGTTTGCAATACCAAGTTCTGCTGATTAATGCAACTGTTCCTGTCCAGGTTTTTGCATTTCTCACTTAGCATGAAGAGGAACATACTATTGATTAATTAAAAAGTTATATTCTTTTATAATTTGATTACTAAAGTGATGAGAATTCAAATGAAGAAGAGGTTCCCAATTTCTGATAACTAGAGTTCAAAACTTCAGTTCTGTTTTCTTTTCTATATATGCTGTTTGCCACGTTGTGCTTTATGAATACAGCTTTTCTTTGGATTAATGCTCTTCAACTGACATGACTGTTTCCTCTGCACCTCACTTGAATTGCTATGCTCAGATTCATTAGCAGCACAGAAGGCAAATTAGTGACTTGCTGTGGTGGTGTTTCTGCTGCTGGAGATGTGCTGGGGCTCAAAATGATGGGATGAAATTCCACGAGTGTGGAAGATGCACATGTTCATGGGTTATATAAGGGAAATTGCAGCATGCTACTTGTTCAGGCATTTTGTCTTCTGTGATTGAGAAGTAGTTCTGGATATCCTATCCAGAATTCTTTTCATTGGCATTAAACCTAGGCTTACCCAAATTCTGTCTTCCCTCCTCCCCTACCTGCTTTTACAGGCTGGTCCATGAACTGAAAGTGAACTGCATGCAGAGGAGGAAGATAGAAATTCACAGTCCAGATTCCTCAGTTGCTGGAACCAACAATTTTAAAATAATTGTGGTATGTTATGAGAACTGTTAACTCTTTAGGATGAAGAGAGAGCTCATCTTCAGTAAAAATTCAGGATCTTGTAAATCAAATCCCATAGGTCAAATTTTGCTTTCAAAGATATGCTATTCCTGTTGTACCAGTTCTCAAAGTCTGTGCTCAGTAATTTTAAACAGGTAGGAAGAAGCTGTTCCTTACCTAGAAAGGAAAATTATTAAAAGGTTGGATATGAAAGTGATTCTGTTATTTTTTTTAAGCTGATCAACATGTTTTCTTGGAAAAAAACAGGAGTGGATAATTAGTGCAGGGCTGTGATGGGAGAGTTGAGAGGACTAAGAGAAAGAAGAAAATGGAAGAGGACAATTTTGGGAGTGGCAGAGTCTGTGAACCAGAGAATCTATGTAAACATCAGTGATCATTTTCCATTTCATGATCTGAAGGCAGATTCTACTGGTTTTGATGGTGCTGTGTGTGCAAGAGAGGTCTCTAGAGCAGCTGTCTTTCATAGTCTATGTCGGGAGCTCTCCATGACCAGCTCTTGGCCTTGTAAACAGAGCACTGCATAGGGAGCTGAAGACAGAAGGAGGTCAGAAACTTAGTGTCATAAAAGAGAAGTTGAAATGTAGCACCGGCCTTTTTGCTGTGATCCAACAGCAGAATTCCACATTCGCTTTTGACAAGGTTTAAGTTTTTGGTTTGAGTCCTCTTCCAATACCAGTCTGTGCTTACTAATCAGCCAGAGTAAGTGTCTAGAACTGATACAATTGGAAAGAGTATTTATTGTTACTCAAAGACTAAATACTCTTCTGACTCATGTTTTTCCGTGCATGCATATAAAAAGGAGTTGACTGCTGCTTTTACAGATTAATGGAGAACAGATCGTGCCAGAGGGATCAGAAGTAATATGTTTCATCTCGGACCTAATGTAGCTCCCTCAAGCTGTTTTTTCCTTTGAGTTTCCAGTAAGTGTGACCAGTAAAGCTTTTGTTTTACAGGCAGATGTTGCTTGTGAACGGATATTCACCGTGAACGATGTAGAGCACGGAGGATGTAAATATGGCATCATCAACCTCAGTGGTTTGGGGAAGGAGTCTCTCACTGTGGAGATGTACGACAACCTCTACTTCACAAACCGCAAAGTACTGTGTTCTGTTCCTGCCTCCTTCGGTTGCTGCATTCTCAGAGCGCTGCTGTTGGGGAGGCACAGGTGGAAATGCATGAGGGTTGGGGAAGGGGTTTGGAGGAGAGAACAGAAAAAGTTGGCAATGTGGAGCTTGGGTGAATGCAGAATCACAGTAAATTTGTCTCTGTAAGTCCTCAGTACCAGTGTTAGTTCTCAGGAATGCTATGCTACAATTGGAACAGATTATCTGGAAGTACCAGCTTCCAAGGATAGTGCTTGCTTTGTCAGTGTAGCTGACAAGACTGATGTTGAGGGCCAGGAACTATTAAGATTTGCATGCTTCTTTCTTAGAAATAATTTTGGGGAAATGTGTTTACCCTTGAACACGAAGCATATTTAAAACAGGCTTCCATAATCTCTTCATGCTCGCATTCTTTTAAGGATGATCTCATAAATAATAGGATGTGCTTGGTGCCTCAGTCTGTGTTTGGACAGACTTCAGTGCTGCTGTGTATCCTATATTTAAGAGGAGTATGAGGCTGAAATGCTCATATCCCATTACTGGGCTGTTTAGTGGGCTAAGGGATTGTGCCCAGCACATGCTTTTATGTCATCTTTGCATGGAAATACCCTTTCAAGAATTGATTAAGAGATCAGAAAAATAGTATGTCTTCTTGTGTCTGAAGGTGAATTCTGTGTGCTGGGCATCATTGACTCATCCAGATTCTCATGTTTTATATCCTTTTTAAAGAAAAGCAAAATCTGAGTTCAGCTTTCGTAAGTCTGCATCGTGCTGCACAGAGCAACTAACTTCGAGGAAGACCTCTCATGTAATTGCCCCGGAAATTAAGTTTTCTAGAAAACAGAAAAAGTTATAAAAATTGAAAGATGGTGGAGATAGCAAGACAGATGTGTGGTTCTGTTATAGATACATGTAGAATTGTTCCAGTGTAATGGTAGGTGGGAGACCGCGTTTCCTGCTCTGGAGACTTCCCACTTCATGAATAATATCAATGCCATATCCAGAATTATCTCATGTTTAGGGATTGGCAAAAGAACAAGAGTGGGTTAAGGCAACTAACTCTGTCTTTGAGGTGGACCTCTTTGACAGTGGGTTGGTGGTTTCTGTTGTAAAGCATCCTCATATTGGTTGGGGTGAGAGGAGAATGGGAGCAATTCGTTGCCATCATCTGCAGATCTGTCTCAGAAGAAGGTGGTGGTTGATGGTATAGTAGAAGAAACGGGAGCAGTTCGTTGCCATCATCTGCAGATCTGTCTCCGAAGAAGGTGGTGGTTGATGGTATAGTAGAAGAAGCAGTAATGGACCGTACAGAGCCCAGAAGAGAGGAAAAAAAGGAGGTTTTAATGTGGGAGATGGCAGGTAACAGATGTGCTATTAAAGTGCCAAAAGAGAGGAAACTGTATAGAAATGCATTATACAGAAATGCTCGTGGGAAAAGCCAAGCAGTTCAGGACTGATCATGCTATTAAAGTGCCAAAAGAGAGGAAACTATATAGAAATGCCCGTGGGAAAAGCCAAGCAGTTCAGGACTGATCCAGAAGGTGGCAGGAGTTCATCGGGCTTGCTCACGGCTGGTTAGGAGTTGGGGATTGGTTGGTTTGGTTATTTCATGCTTTCACAGAATCCCAGACCGTTAGGGATTGGAAGGGACCTCCAAAGCTCATCCAGTCCAATCCCCCTGCCGGAGCAGGAACACCCAGATGAGGTTACACAGGAAGGCGTCCAGGCGGGTTTTGAATGTCTGCAGAGAAGGAGACTCCACAACCTCTCTGGGCAGCCTGGTCCAGTGCTCTGTCACCCTCACTGAGAAGAAGTTGCTTCTCACATTTAAGTGGAACCTCCTGTGTTCCAGTTTGTGTCCATTACCCCTTGTCTTATTATTGTTTGTCACCGAGAAGAGCCTGGCTCCATCCTCGTGACACTCACTTTCCTCTGCTTACATCACAGATTTACCTCACTGAACTTGAAATGCAGCTTCCAAGTCCTATCTATACCTGGTATAATCTTTAGAAAGTATTTTAATGTAACCTAAAGTGAGTCTTCCCTGCTTCCCCTGTGCAGGAGGAACAGAACTATATTAATGCAGTGTCATCGGCCTGTGAAGATGAGAAGAATTATCCATGTAGGCCATGCATTTGTTTAGTACCACTAGAAAGATGCCTTAGCATTCCTCTTGTCTTGTCTTTCTGGTAGTGAAAATACACAAGCAAGAATTTGAGTTCTTTCTAGCTCTTTCCTGTGAAAGAAATGAAAAGTCAAGAGATAATTGTAAACTGTAAGGCACATCAATGATCTGAAAGGGAGAGTATTGTGAGCTGTGGCTGTGTCAGAGCATTTTGCTTTTCCCAGCTATAAATGTTAGGCAGCCTGTTCCATTCTAGGGAGAAATCGTTGTTTTCCTTAACTCACTTCAGCAAGCTGTGCCTCATGGGAATTGCAGAAACGCCAGGCTGTGCCAGTCTGCTTCCAGCGTCACTGTTCAGCAGCACTAACCCAGGTAGGGTGGTTTTGTTGATCTGGGGGGTTTTTTCTCTGCAATTTTCGATAGCAGTTATGGTATGAAAAGAGCACAAAGGGAAAGATTATTTCCACACTTGTCTTCAGTAGCTGACGAGACTGTTACATTCTTGTTGAACTTGGAAAGTCTGAAACAGTTTAAGACGTGGACAGATGAAAGAACTTACCTGAAGAATTAATTAACAAGCAGTATTCAAAGCACTGGTTTATTTTGAGCTGCTGCTGATGTAGTACTTGACTTTGCCAGGAGAACACCCCATTTGTAAACTAAACATTTGAGATTTTTCATGAGTAGCTTGGCCTGTAACTAATAGTCAGAAACTGCACGCAAGAAGTACTCAAATTCCCTTACAGACTGTCTAGAATCATTGCAGATTCCCTTCTCACAGCAGCTACTCAGGTATGCCCAGTGGATTCATCAAAGGTGGAAAGCTGGTAAACATCTCAACCCATAGCTCCTTGTACAAGCTCATGCTCAGTTGTGTGTAAGCATGATTGATTTGGAGAATCCTGTGTCTTAAGTCTGATGGTTGTAGCTGTATCTTTATGTGCTTGTTTGTGCTTGTTTGTTCTTGGAGGCAGGACTTAATTAATTGGACTTTCTTGATAGATGTCAGAACCATGCTTCAAGTCACACAGCACAGTCCTCTAACCTGGTTTCCATTTAGACATAATCAGTTAAGTTTATACAGAGGAAATCTATATTAGAGAAGAGTTATGGACTTATTTTAATTTTTTGATGTCATGCTATTTACACAGCCATTAAAAAATGTATAGAGTCAGCAGGAACTCGAAGAGTCACTGAAGATGGATGGCTGCTAGGCCAGCATGCCCAATTGCTCTGTAGGACATTTTAAGCCCTTTCACCATAATCAGATGCCCTGAGTTCCACCAAAGTCCTCCTTGCGGAGAAACATCACCAGGCTGCAAGCCAAGGCACCGCAGAAACTGGGATCCCCATGAGAACATCATTTAAGAGAGTAAATAGCAGCTGGGATTTGTACAAAGGCAATCTATAAAAGACTAAGCTATGTTGTTATTAAGTATAACAGGACCTTGGACCAGCCTAAAAGTAGGAGTTCAAAACTACACCAAGCACTGCATGCCTGGGTTCTCTCGACCAGAACACTGGTTGAACGGTATGCGTGGTGTGGGGCAGGATATCTCAGTCTTGGAACACCTGGCCATAAAGTGTGGGAAATGATGGATGGGAAAGTGCTGTAGAGTGTGAACATCCTGATTGGCTGCATCGTCAGGTCCTTATCTGTAGCTATAAAAGTAGAGGTAGACAATAAAACCTTTACTTGGCATTCATCTGCTGAGTCGTTTCTTGTTTTCAGCTCACCACAGCCCCTGTCTGGTATTTCCTGTTGACTGTTTCAGGTATTTCCAAGTTTGTTAACTTCACTCTCCTAAATTGTTGGTTTGAAGGAACCTTGCTAAGTAGATGCTGAAAGCAAAGCAGAAATTAGCATATCTAAACCCACGTTTTAGACATGTCACCTGTGCAGGCTGCCATGGTAGATGTGCCATGAAGAAAGCGAAAGCTGGCAACTTAGTTTTTGCCTGTTAGTAGACTTTGTATAGGAGCTGTGTGAGGAAGGGTCAGATCTAGAGTGCTGTTACTTACTCAAACCTTTTTTTTTTATATAGGCAAGTCAAGAACTTACAGGTTAAACTTTGGCTAATCTACAGTTTATAAAGTAAATGTTTTGTGTTTCTAGCCCACTTGTCTTTAAAAAAATGGCTTAGTGCTGTAAGGCAAGTGTTACTTTTTTCCTTCCTGCTGGGGTCAGCCCTCTGACTACAGAATAAATTCCACTCTCTCTCACAGTCATCTGTCTATATACACTATAGGTCTGCAGCTTACCATCATGAAGTCTCACGATTGTTTCCTATCCGTTGAGTAGCACAGGGACACTCATTGGTTAACATTTTCTCTGCTTCCCCAGAAGGGAAGAGAAAAGAGAATAAGGGAGAGAGAGAGGGGTTAATAGAGAGCGTCTGTCCAGGATTTAGTGGCTGGCCCAGCCCTAAACCACGACAAAATGTTGAAAGAAGTATGGAAATCCAGAGAAGCTTTCTGAGTTATCCTGTCCTAACATTTTATGGGTGCTTTGTCTCCTTGCTCCTTTCTCCTAGGAGATCGACCTGGAATGCTGTGCAGCTTCAAGATATCCACTGCCTGGTCCTGTGCTTGGTGCCTGAATCCCCAGGCAGACAACTGCTTCAGCACAGGTGATCTGCAAGGCTAGCAACCCCTTCTGTCTCAGTGGGAAAGACTTCCTGCGTCAGTCTCTCAGCTGCTACCCAAATTACAGCTAAATGAACATAATCTGTTGTCCTTAGGGCTGACACGACGAGTTCTTGTGACCAATGTAGTGACAGGGCATCGGCAAACATTTGGAACCAGTAGCGATGTATTGGCACAACAGTTTGCCACACAGGTAAGAACAACCATGCGCCCTTCACTTTTTTTCAGAGCACTGCATCACTGGTGGGCTTTTTGTGCTGTTTGTCATGGGACTCGCCACGCTGTACGTAAGGTGGTGGTTACAGCCACTGTTGGATAGCCGTCCCACAGCAGGGCTGGTGCAGTCTGACGCTTACACACAACTGAATAGCAATGAAAAGATGACTTGATTTCAAATTCTGTGACAAAAGGAGTAATTTTTGTTAATTGTACAGAGGTAAAAAGAAAAGTGAGTACAAACACCACCGTAATAATGTGCTGTAAAATTGGTTCTTTGCAGATTACCTCATTTTGCTAATGCTCAGTGTATTGCCTCCATCAAGAGGGCAAAAACCCCAATAAAATACCAGTGAACTTCTTCACAAGATTTAGTGAGAAGGGTGAAATCAGAGTATGACAGCTCGAGTTCCTGTTTTGCTGTTACATTGGACTAAGTTCCTGCTTACCTAACTGAACTTTTACAGCTAAAAAGTTGAGATGTGAATGGAACTGATGAGTTGGCTGAAAAATGTTGGTGCGTGTAATAAAAATTCTGGTTCTTAATGCCCATGTTAATAAACTAATTTGATGAGTGCACCAGAGGGCTCAAAAGCTTGACACAGCTTCTGTCTGTATAACTTGGAAGATTCTTTTGGATGTTACACAGTGTGCTTTTCTCTTGGATTCTTCCAGACCCCGATGCTGTACAATGGCTGCCGTTCGGGTGAGATTTTCAGCATTGATGTGCGTCAACGCAGCCGAAAGGGCCAGAGCTGGAAAGCAATTCGTCTTTTCCACGACTCAGCAGTGACATCTATTCGCCTTCTTGAGGCTGAACATTATCTTATGGCAGCAGATATGGCCGGGAAGGTATGGGTTTGTTGCTTTGAGAGTATTCTGTTCCTTCTAGCATCTGGGCATTGATAGATGCTTATCCCAGTCCCAAGGGTGGATTGGGGGGTGGATTTGGCCTGTTCTTCAGGGGGTGGTAGGGAACTGGGTGGTAGTCCTCTTCCAGATCCATTTATTCATCAACCATCAACTGCTCTCTGCTTTGTTAATGTATCCTCTTTCAAACAATTTCCTCAACTTGCAGATAAAACTGTGGGACCTGAGAACGGCAAAGTGTGTGAAACAGTACAAAGGTCATCACAACGAATATGCTCTTCTCCCTTTGCACGTAAATGAGGAGGAAGGACTTCTTACAGCAGGTGGGTTGGCTTTTTTCCCCCCCCTCTACTTGTAGAGTGCATGCCAGTGATTTTCTTATGCCTGAAGAGCATTTGTTAACTACAGCTGTTGGAAGCTGTAAAGCTGTTAATTCTTTAAAATTCAGAATAAATTTAGCTGTAGATATACCGTAATATGGTATGAAAATTAAGAAATAATGAGCGTACACTTACTGTAATCACTCCACTGTAGCACTTAACAGCTTTATGTGCTGCGTCCTGCAGAAGTCCCGTTATCCTTTCCACAGTGTGTCTCGAGCAGAGCACAAAACACTTGGTCTTGAAACTCGGGGAAACAATGTGTAAATGAGAGACTTGGTGATAACTTCATACAGAGACTAAAGACTGCACATGGCTGTTTGGTGCTTAAGTGGGTAGTGTGGTGGTAGGCTGAAGCATTGGCACGTAAGCATAACTCCTGGTGAACTGTCTATGCCACTCGGTTTCATCTTGATGAATATACATCTTTTATTTTAGGAGGGAAGGTAATAATAAATGAAGCAAAGTATAGCCAAGTTTCACACTGTCACTGTAAACATAGTGACCATCTCTCCTTGGCTTTGTCAATAAGCAATGGAATAATGAGAAGGAAGAATTCTGGTTAACTTGAGAGTTCTCCCCCCCCTTTTTTTTCTTTTGCTTATGAACTTGGTAATGAGGAAAGCACTTTAAATACTGTTTTATTGTACCTTTTATTCTCTAATGGGAAATGCACATTTCTCCTACTTCTGCAGTGTTTGGTGTAGAATTTCTGTTTTGTAAAGTATTGGTAAGCACTTTGCCTCTAGCATGTGTAGAAACGGTCAGGGGGTTTTTCCCCATAGACTTTCTCCTCCTGTGATGAGAACATTGCAGAGCTGTATAAAGTCCTTTCTGTGCGATGTTGAATTCTGGTGTCCCTTCCTTTCCAGTTGGTCAGGATTGCTACACCAGAATTTGGAGTCTCCAAGATGCCCACCTGCTTAGAACCATCCCTTCTCCCCACCCATCCTCCAAAGATGCCATTCCCAGTGTGGTGTTTTCTTCAAGACTTGGGGGTAGCCGAGGAGTTCCTGGCTTACTCATGGCTGTCAAGCAGGATCTCTACCACTTCTCCTATAACTGACACGATATTCTCCTCAGACCTGGTCTACAGAACTACCAGCCTGTACATGACTTCAAAGGTTTTGCACCAGTCGCCACGCTGTTCAGTTACTACGTGCTGCTGTTGCGTCTGCTTTACTCATGAAATTCTGAACCTCCTTCAGCAGGTTCAGCAAATCTTGCTGTATGCATCTCAGCCATCTTGTAAATAAAAGCTTAATGCTGACTAACTTCTTAACCAATATTCAGCCTCTTTGAAATCTAGCTATAAGCTTTGGAAGGCTGGTAACTTGCAGCAAGGGCCTGACTCACTCAGCCTCAAAAGGCTGCTCTAACTTAATCCTAGGTTGCTCATACAACCACTTAGCTGAGGTTGCATCCACATTAGCAGGTGTGCTGGGGCAGTGGAGTGGATTAGCAGAGTGAAGTGGCTGGTGTTGAGACGCTGATGCTCTAGGTGTTCTGGGGCTTTTTATTCTTTTGAGCAGTATCCAGCAGTCTCTACTACATCCATAGTCAGAAGCAGTCCAAAGAACAGCTGTTTCCCCCACTTACACAGTCAGTCCTTTGAGCCGGGCTGTGCTTATAACCCTAACCCTAAACTTTGTCCTTTTCAAAGGTGGTGTGCTGCTGCCCTGCCATCATTCCCATTAAATGGAATGTGTATGTGTGTATCTACAGCATGTGTATGTGGAACGAAGACCTTTTCCTGGTCCAGTAGCCAGGCTGAATGTCCTTGATAATTTATCGTAGTGTTTCCTAACCAAGTCTGCACCCCTGTCTTGGAGTTTGGTCAGCAGTCTGGAATGGCAGGCTTGCTTATGCAGCAGGAGGCAAGTCCATCCTGGCCAGACCAGGAATGTGAGATCACCTGTGGAGAGTCAGGGGTTTGCACACAGAGGCACAGCTGGGCCCTCAGCTGCTCAGTTGTAACACCAGCTCACAGCAATTGGATGATGCTGTGTCTTGTATTTGAGAACCGTTATCATCCCATGAAGCCTCAGTACCTCCAGTTCTGTCCTGGTAACCAGCTTGGGTTGGGCAAGACCATCCTGCAGCTTGTATGTGCGGGAAGCACTGACAAGTTCAGGAGCCTACAGGGTGTGAAGGCCCTCATGAACTAGGTGGGGCTACTGATGGGCTTCAGAGGAAAGATGCACTGCACTGAAGTTTCCCAGTATTCTTAAGAAATGAATGCAGGAACCGCTTTTCCATCCTGGGATCCACTTAGAGCATTCAGATGTACAACTGAACATCAGAGATGTCACTTCCCATGGGGTCCTGCCAGGTCAGCAGGTGAGTGCACAAACAGGTCACAGTCACATCCTTGCTGCACAGCGTGTTAAGAGGGAGCCTGTGCCCAGCTGGCTCAGTGAGATGGCCATGTCAGAGCTAGGCTGGCTGTCTGCATTCCAAATGCCTTCTGAAATCAGGTATAGGCTGCACATGTGCACAGAGATAAGTGTTGCTTGTGACTACAGGTGGGGCCTATATCTGTACCAGTACCCAGCACAGCACTTGCACCCAGGACACTGTCTGTGTCTTCATTGCAGAGGGTGCAGCAGTGCTGAGCATCCTCAGAAGGAAGGGGCTTGCAGGTCCCCATCAAAGCTTTTCCACTTCACTGAATTGCATTCTAGGAATAAGAAGAAAAAATGGCTAATACCTGTGTCTTGCCTGCTTACCCCATCCACTCCACCATATCTTTTGATAATTCATTTGTTTTCCAAGGCCCTTCCTGACTTTGCTGGGTGTTCTCCTGTACCTGGAGTGCTGTTTCTGAAACCCTTCTGCAGTTTATGGCCAACTGGCCTGCCCAAAGGGATGGAGAAGGCATCAAGCAGCAGAAACTCATTTCCCAGCAGAACTAGAACAGCAGTGCTCCGTCTGCTCCCCACATACAGGCAGGGGATAGGGGTAGAGCACTGCTACAGCCCAAAGGAGGTCAGGGATGCTCTGCTGGTTAACCAGGCACAGCAGGGCACCCAGCCATTCTACCTTCACAGAAAACCCTCCTAGGCATGCTACAAAGCTTTCTAGTTCTTTTCTTTCATGGCAGATACCATTATTCTTTTGCATCTAAAGCTTCTGGCCAGAGCAACCTCGTTACAAGAGCGATTGCACCCCACCACCTTTGTCACAATGGGCCATCAGCACCACTGCACGCTGGTCGGTGTGCAGGGAAAGCTCTTCGGCTGTAACTGAGCAGAAGTCTTTGCAGTTAAACGAAGGGGTTGGCAAAACCGATTATCAGTCACAAAATGTTTTTCCCAGAGAAGGGGAGTGTGTGCTCGTGCTGCAGCTCAGCACTCTCTACAAGGGTGAGCCATTCGAGGTTGTTGGCTCCCTCCAAAAGGAAGCATCACAAGTGCCCTGCACTGCAAGTCCAGCACAGGGAGATTTCCTTCACAAGCCCAGTACAAACCTGAGCGTATCCTGTGGTTTGGTTGGTTTGGTTTGGTTTTTCCCATTGCACTCCTCACCCCTGTCCTTCCCTTTTTTAAGTGACTTTGGATAAGGGGGAATTATTCAAATACAGGTGCCAGGAAGGGTGGGCCCTACTAAAAATCCTCTTTGCCCTGCAGGGCTCCACACTCATTTCTCATCTCTCCTTCTCAGGCCTAAGCAATGTGCTGTTCTAGAAAACTGCCTCTTCTTAGCAGCTTTTACTGCTCACCACACTCCACAGAATCCCAGACCGTCAGGGATTGGAA